TACAGATGTTACTATCAGTACACATCCACTCACTCCTTCTACAAGCCTTTACCGTGCTGGGCACTGTTCCAGGCATTGGAGAGACGGTGGTGAATGAGAGGGACAGGGTCTCTGCCCTGCAGGAGCCTCTCGAGGTGGACTATGGGGAAAGGGCCTATTAGCAGAGTAAGCTAACATAAATGATATATCAGGGGCTATGAAGCAAGCGAAACTGGTGACTGGGGTCGGGTGGCAGTTCTACCTGAGTTAGGATGGGCAGGAAAGGCCTCTCAGAGGTGGTAACTTTTGAGCTGAGATGTGAAGGAAAGGAAGGAGTAGCAGGGGAAGATGACGGGGAAGAGGATCCCAAGTAGAGGGAACACCAAGCCCAGAGGCCTTGAGATGGTCGGTGAATTTAAAGGACAGAAAGAAGCCAGTGTGGAGGAGTATCGTGAACACCGGGGTGAGTGGAGGGCAAGAGCAGTGTGGATTTCTTCCCGCTAACTTTTTATTATAAAAAATGTCAAATCTATAGAAAAGTCAAAATAGATTAGTAAACACTCTCATACTCCCCACCTAGGTTCAACAATCATTAATATTGTCTCATATTTACTTTCTCTTTATATTAATATATATTTCTTGCAATGCTATTTGAAAATAAGATCCAGACATCATGAGACTTTGCCAACAAATATATCAGCCACATCTTCTAAAAATAAAGGGATATTTTCCTATATAACCTCTAATGCAGTAACATGCCTAGGAAATGTCATAATTTCCTAATATCCTCTGATACACAGCCCATAATAAAATTTCCTCGATTATCTCCCATTTTAGTGGTTTTCTTTTCTTTATTTAAAATTTCCCTCCAAATCAGGATCAAACCAAATTTCTCATATTACATTTGGAGGAGTTTGGATTTTATTTTAGGTGTGAGGAAAGTCATTGGAGGGCACTGAGCAGAAAAATGACCCGTTCTAAGTTTCAAATGTCAGCTCACTACCAAGAGAATACTACTGTGAGGCCACAGTAGAGGCAGGGAAACGGGCAGACAGACTGAAGCAGTGGTCAAGAGACGAGGGTGCCTTGGCCCAGGTTCGCAGCACTGGTGATGGTGCCCAGAGGTCAGATTTCAAGTGTACTTGGGAGGAAGGACTGACAAGGATGGATGGGTGTGAGCGGTGAGGGGAGGAATCAAGGGTGACTGAAAGTGGGTCTGAACCATTTACTGAGCCTGGAAGGGATCTTAATTGTTCTGAACCGACTATGCCCTGTAAGATGCACTTAAATACATGAGCCAGCTGCTCAGGGGAGACCCCCCCCCCCACTGGAGATGTGGACTTGGGAGTCATTAGTTCTAGAGGAATTTAGAGTTATGAGAGTGGATAAGATCACCAAGGGAGAAAGCAGTTAGAAAGAGGAAGGCCGAGGAGAGAACTCTGGGGCACTGGCCATTTAGAGATCTGGCAGAGGAAAAACCAGCAAAGGAGACTAGACAGAAGTGCTAACCAGGCAAGAAAAAACTCAGTATCAAAGTCTAGAAAAGAAAGTGGTTTGAGCAGAAGAGAGTGTTCGGTCATGCCAAATGCTGCTGATTGGCAGGTGAGGATAGAGATGGACCACACGGTTTGTGAGATGTAGGGCATGGTGACCTCAGTAAGAGCAATGTCAATGGAAAAGAACAGAGAAATTGGGCAGTAGTTGAAGGACATAGGGTCAGGAGAGGGTTTTTGTTTCTTTTTTTAAGATGGGTGATATTAGGACTTGATTGCATATGTTATGGAAATGAGCCAGCAGAGTAGGAGAAACTGGCTTAGGAGAGAGGAGCTCATTGCGGAAGTGTAGCCCCGGAGGAGGGAACGGATCCCCAGCACAAATGGCAAGGCTGCCCTTAGGCACAGCCTTTTACTGTAACAGGAGCGAGGCAGAGTACACAGGACAGGTGCAGGCTGGCTGGAGGGCTGTGGTGGAAAGATGAGGTAATACTAAGCTGACTGCATCCATTTTTCCATGACCTATGAGAAAAAGTCATCAAGTGAGGGAAGACAGCCAATCTGAGGTGAGAAGATATGAAATAACTGTCCTCAAAAATGGGAAAGTTAATGACTACTAAAGAAGTGTAGTAGAATCAGGTGCTCATTTTACAATTTATGGTCATCATTTAAACTAAGTTCAGTCAACAGAGTTAGCTGATTCTCTCTAGCCAGGGTCGGTTGGTTAGGTACAGGCAAGGATTCAGTACGGGGCTGGGTTTAATCAGGCTTGGAGTTCTGCCAGGTCAGGGAGAGGCGCTGCAAGAAAGCGGAAATACTGCCAGTCTTTGTAATCTAAGCTTGGGAGAAGGAAAGCAAGGGCAGGAGTGGGAAAAGGACAAGCCGCCATAGGATACATACTGGTAACTGCCTCCTTCATTTTGCTTTACTGTTAAGAGTAGTATCTCAACCGGAAGAGCTAATATTTTCTCTTTGAAATTTAGCTAGAATGTTATCATACTGGTGGAATTTACTTAAATCTTATTCTGTTAAGTTTTAAAAATAATCAAATCGATAATTTCTTAAAGCAATTTATTCATTTTTTGCTATTTACTTGGAATTTAAAAAGGGAATTGATTTAAGCCTCTGGGCTGTACCAACTGTAAATAATTTAAAACATTTTAACTGGGGAAAATTTCAAACACATACAAAAGTAGAGAGAATAGTGTAATGTATCCCCATGTATCTATCACCCAGATTCAACAAGTATCAACATTCTGCCGTTCTTACTTCATCTTGCCCTCCCTCTTTTTCCTGGAGTATTTTATAGCAAATCCCAGGCATCATAACATTTCACCTGTAAATACTTGGCATGTATTACTAAGAGAGAAGGACTTAAAAACCAGACAAACATAATCATAATGCCATTATCATGCCCAACAAAATTAACAATAGCTTAATATAATTTAATACCTAGTTGAAGTTTAATTTTCTCCATCTCCAAAGTGTCTTTTTATAATTGGTTATAATAAAGGCTTGTATGGTCAAATTTGTCTGGGAAATAGTACCCCTCCACAAATATTTAGTGACACTATGTGCCAGATATTGTCTGCTAGGCAGGCAGTGGGGTCTGCAGTGACAAACTGTACTATTCCACCTCCGTGACAACAGGTGATTAATTGGCTACCCCATATCAGCTGCCTCAAGGCACAATGATAGGTGGGACTCTCATAAAAATATCTAACTTGGCAATAGCTCTTCAGAGATGCAAATGGTTATGGGGCCTTAATGTTAGCCAGAGCTCTGACTCAGGGAGGCATCTCCACTGTAACTCTCTTGCTACCCTCGGGTGCGTTATTCTAGCACTGCCAGGAATGGTTGTAAATAAGAGTAAATAGTAATTATTCAGCATCCCCTATATAAAACATACTGTACTTAGTGCAGTAAAGACTTCCAAGGTAGATGGATAAGATCCCTGTTCAAGGAACTTAACTTTTAGTGGAGAAGATAACATACACACACAAATAACCAGAGTACAAGGCGGAAGCCTGCAAGTGCTCAGAGTACTTGAAATTAAACTACTTTAAAAGCACAGAGGGTTCCTGGGATTACTGGGGTGTGGACCTGCGGCCAGGGGAAGGAAGAGGAGACGAGGCACCAAGACAGTGATGACATTTCAGATGGACTCTGAAAAGTACTAAGAAATTATTCATGAAGATAAAGGACAGAGAAGGGATCTGAGGCCAAAGGGCCAAAATTAGCAAAGGGACAAAGATGGAGAAAGGTAGCAAGTGCTCAGGGACCAGTCCAATTTGGATGTAGCCTTGGATAAAAGATTCCAGTCAGCCTGCAAAAAGCCTAAGGGATTTAAGCTAAGGATTTAAGGCTTTCTTTATGAAGTATTGGGGAGCCATTAAGATCAGAGCCCAGAAATATCTCCAGACACTGCTTTATCATTCAACCCCAAGAGGTACCTGGGCACTGGTTATTTTGTTTAAACCATTTAAAAATATTTGTGATGGCTGATTTAGGCATTCACTCAGCATAAATACTACAGCTTGCAGAACAAATCTCGAGTATACATTAGTATTAGACAGGAAAATTCCACCAGAATCTAGTATAGAACGTCAATCCCAAATTGAATCCCCACATTTTCCCCCAACATTTTGCAGCCTCAGAGTCAAAGACCTCACCGGTTTTGAAACAGAACACTGCTACAACAGTGATCAATAAATGAACGCCCATACTAGATCAGGGCTAATTATAAAAATTTATCCACGGGGGTGGTCCCCTAAAACTCATCCTTTCTTCTAGGTCCCCCAATAAAGTAGCAAGAGATCTTGGGGCGCTATTACAGTTTACCGAAGTGTTACTGTTTGGAATTTCCCAGAAGCCAAGGCAGTTACTTCTGCGACTGCCTAACAATTAATCGGCATTGGACACAGCATTCCTTGAGCTTTCTGGGCCTGCATTTCCTAATTGATGCCTCGGGAAGTATCACAGAGTACTTCAATAAAACCAAACCAAACAAACCCTTTTGGAGCCGAGACCTATGTGAGCCCTTAGAAAAGTCAGTCTCAAAATAAGGTGACGACTATGGCTCCCTTTCCGTCTTGCAGAGTTGGAGGGACCGTCGTGAACCAAATCTACTGGCCCAGGGGCGGGCTCGGTCCCTTCCCACCGCGTCTCCCTAAGGCCGCTCGTCCCTACCCCTCCCGCCACCGGCCTGAGCCATCAGCCCCGTACCCTCAGGTTAGCCCGGAGGCCCAGACTCTTGGCCAAGTTCTGCAGGTCACTGTACTTGAAGGAGTCCAGCTCCTCCAGGGAGGGGACGGTCATCGCGTTCTGTAAGCCAGGCGACCACGCAGACAATCGACGCTCCGTTCAAATCTCTGGCGCCACTATAAACGTTGACCTCGCCGAGTTTTATAGACAGTTTAAATCAAGGGTGCTGCACTTCCATTGGTTAAAAATGCCTAGGAGGCGGGGTTTCCTGGCGTTGGCCAATAGAAAAGCTAAGCCTCCCTATTAGACGCACGTTCTTCCCCACCCCCACAACACGTAGGCGTCGAAGGGCGTGTCCAGGCAACGAGCGCGCCTCAGAGCCTCACGATGTCCAATGAGGACGCAGGAACAGTGCTTGGGGCGGGGCCTGGTGCCAGTTCGAAACGGAGGCGCCGCTGCAGGAAGATGGCGGCTCGGCCGCGGCGGCATCGCTCGCGGTATGCGAAGCTGCCCCGGGGTGACTTTTGTGAGGGCGCTAGGAAGGCGACGGACGAACCTTCCTTAACGACTTCCATGGAGTGGGACACGCAGGTGGTGAAAGGGTCCTCGCCGCTGGGCCCTGCAGGGCCGGGGGCGGAGGACCTGCCATCCAGCCCGCGGTTGCCGTCGTGGCTGCAGCCGGAGAGGTGCGCCGTGTTCCAGTGCGCGCAGTGCCACGCCGTGCTGGCTGACTCGGTGCACCTCGCCTGGGACCTGTCGCGGTCCCTCGGGGCCGTGGTCTTCTCCAGTGAGTGGGGGCGGCATCTGGGGAGGGCGGAGGAGGGCCGGAGAGGGTGTTCCCGCTTTTTCACCAGGTGGCGGAGAGCCGGCTGGAGAAGAAAACTGCATGAGAATTTGGAAGGAAATTAACCCCTTTGCTGGGGCTGGGGGCAACTTTTCTTGATTTTTGTGGTCATGATGAGTCTGAAGGGGAAGCGTTTTCCCTTTCAAGGCCTCACAGGTACTCATTCTGACTTGTGTTTGTGTTCCCAGGAGTCACAAACAACGTGGTTTTGGAAGCTCCCTTCCTAGTTGGCATTGAAGGTTTACTGAAAGGCAGGTATGTACTGAGACTTCTCGATCTGAGAATTCGCGATCGATTACCTATCCGTCTTTAGTCCTTGACTTAATGAGACCGAGCAGCGTGGAACCGACATGCACCAGTGTTCCTATCTTGCGCTAAAAGAAACGTTTATTCCATCCATTCACTGTATTTATTTATTTTGAGGAAGATTAGTCCTGAGCTACCATCTGCTGCCAATCCCCCTCTTTTTTTTTTAAATTTTTTGAGTTAATGATAGGTTACAATCTTGTGAAATTTCAGTTGTATATTATTGTCTGTCAGTCGTGTTGTAGGTGCAACCCTTCACCCTTTGTGCCCACCCCCCATCCCCCCTTTCCCCTGGTAGCCACTAATCTGTATTCTTTGTCCACAGGTTTAAAGTCCTCATATGAGTGGAGTCATACAGAGCTTGTCCTTCTCTGTCTGGCTTATTTCTCTTAACATAATTCCCTCAAGGTCCATCCATATTGTTGCAAATGGGACGATTTTGTTCTTTTTTATGGCTGAGTAGTATTCCATTGTATATACATACCACATCTTCTTTATCCAATCATCTGTTGATGGGCACTTAGGTTGCTTCTGCATCTTGGCGATTGTAAATAATGCTGCACCAATCCCCCTCTTTTTGCTGAGGAAGATTGGCCCTGAGCTAACATCTGTGCCCATCTTCCTGTTTTATATGTGGGACTGCCTGCCACAGCATGGCTTGATGAGCTGCGTATAGGTCCGTGCCGGGGATCAGAACTGGGGAACCTGGGGCCACCTAAGCGGAACCTGGGAACTTAACAGCCACTGGGCTGTCCCCCATTCAGTGTATTTAAAGGATGCTCCTTTTACCTCTTTGAGTCTGTTACGGAAACCGAAGTGGGTTTGCCTCTGGGCGAGTCAAATCAGACTCTCCACCAGAAGTAGTTGTGTCACAAAGTAAGGTGTATTTGCAGAAAATAGGAGACCATGCGGAATCACTTCCAGAGTCGAGGAGTCCCTGAACAAAGGGAAGCAGGGACCTTTTATTTCAGATGAGAAATGAATATTCAAAAAGGAGAAGTGGGCATTTACATGCACAGGCTTGGTTGGAAAACGTGCTTCCACTTACACTGCAGGTTATGGGAATAAGGCTTAAGCTCCTCCTGGAGAGATCTTAGCAATAAAAGTGAGGCAGAGGTCATAGGCGGAGCTCTCTGGTGAGGCTTGGTCTGGTTCATTGTGGTTGGTGATTGCATCTCCTTACCATAACAAAAGGGGAAAAAAATGATTTGGAAAAACAGTTAAATGCTTCCAAACCCACCCTTGAGTTCCTTGGGGCAGCTAGGCGGGTGACAAGTCTTGTTACAATCTTGATGTGTTAATGAAATGGAAAAGTTGTGTTTATGTGTAGCTTTTAAAATCTTTCTGAGGGTCACATCTCCATAGTGGCTTGTGCAAGTGCAGTGAGGCTTTCAGTGTACAGTGAGAATCACTGACTATAGACTACAATCCTTTGAGATAACTAGGACTTTTAATTTTGCGCTTACACTGGAGTTTGTGATAAGCTACAGCAGGACTAACTCTGCTGCAACCCTGGAAACTGGGGAAAAACACAAGTTGAATGATATGTACTTGAATACTGCCTGGTAAACTTTGCATCTTGCCTGTACCATGATTTATAAGTGACAACAAAGTACTCAGTGAATTTAGTATTACAAGGCTTCTCAATTTGTGTGTGTGTGTGTGTGTGTGTGAGGAAAATTCACCCTGAGCTAACATCCGTTGCCAATCGTCCTCTTTTTTTTTTTTCTTTTGCTTGAGGAACAGTAGCCTTGAGCTAACATCCAGGCCAGTCTTCCTCCACGTTGTATGTGGGACACCTCCACAGCATGGCTGATGAGTGGAGTAGGTCCATGTCTGTGCTGCTGAAGCAGAGCAGCAGAACCTTAACCACTCGGACACGGGGCCAGTCCCCAAAGCTCCTCAAGTTTGAGTGTTGTCTTTAACAGCCAGACAATTCATTCTGACCACAGTTTGGTTCTAAGTTTTAGGGGTAAAGTATAGGCATTCTTAGTTGCTTTACTCAGTAACCAGGAAGAGTTCTGTAGCCCCTCTTTCCCCACTGAAAGACACTAACTCCCTTCCTTATGGGAGTGTCCTTTTCCCACCCAAAGGGAACAGAGAGGGAAGGGCTGGTGGTCTGCTTGGAACTGGGTCATTTGGGGCCAGAGGCAAAAGCTCTCTGAATATCTCCTTAGGCCTGTGCCATCCAACACTGTAACCATTAGCCACATGAGCTGTTGAGCACTTAAAATGTGGCCATTCTGAATTGAGATGCTGTGAGGGTAGCCTTAGTACAAAAAAATTAATAATTTAAAAATGTTGATCACATGTCGAAATAATGTTCTTGATATATTGGGTAGCATAAAATATATTAAAAGTAATTTCATGTGTTTAAGAAATGTTTTTAATGAGACAAATAGAAAATTTAAAGTTACTTATGTGGCTCATATTGTTTTCCTATTGGACATTACTGATCTGATGGTTTATCAAACACTGGAGGGAAAGCCCCATGTTTCTGTATTTATGGAATAAGGAGAGCCACGGGACTTAGCAGTGATGAGGATTTTAGGCTGGTTAATTTTAAAACTGCAGATGAGAAGCAGGCTCCGAGGAGTGGAATTTGCTTGCCCTCTGATGAGAGACATTTGCATTTGTGAAGGAAATCTCCATGCCTCCCCCTCTGCACCAGGAGGAAGCGGGGATGGCCTTATCTCTGGAAACTCTTAATGGGGAAGGCAAGGACTTAAGTTGGTTACTGTCTGGCAACCTCATGTAACTGATTTAGGGTGGTGGCTTCTGGCCTTTACTTAATCCGATTTGATTCTTATCTAAAAGTTGTGAGACCACCCAATGGCCAGACCCCACCTACACTGATACCATTTTAACTTTTCTGCATGTTCTTTCCTTTGTCTTGTAAAGAGATGGCTCACATACCTATGCCTTAAATTTAGCCTTACTCTCCACCCATGTTGGCAGCAGTAGTGGGGGCAGCAGCAGCACCTCCTCCTGCCTGTGGGCCCTGTCCCCACGCAGCAGCTCTGACTGCCCATGGGTCCTGTCCCCATGCTATTCCACACTATTCTCTAAATAAAAGAGCACTACTGCCACATCTTAAGAGTCCAAAAAATGTTTCTTTCGACTCCTCGGCTCACCGACCCCACATCAGCAGGAAGAGATATGTTACCCGGAATTGGCTGTGCAGTTCTGGAGGGTGAAAAGTCCCAAGAGCTGCTGGAGACGGGAGAGGCAGTGGTTTAGTTCTAGTCTAAGGCGCAGGCCTGAGAACGGACAACCAAAGATGTAAGTTCCAGTCCAAGAGCCAGCAGACTCGAGACCTAGAAGACCTGACATTTCGGTTCAAGTCCAAAGGCAGGAAAAAAGACCAGTGTCCCAGCTCAGCGCAGTCAGGTGGGAGGACTCCCTGTTACTCATGAGAGGGTCAGCCTTTTGTTCTGTTCAGGCCTTTAACTGATTAAATGAGGGCCACCCATGTTAGGGAGGGCAATCTGATTAACTCACTACTGATTCAAATGGTAATCTCATTAAAAACACCCTCAGAAACACGTTGGGAATGATGTTTGACAGAATGACTGGGCACCCTGTGGCCCAGTCAAGTTGATACATAAAATTTAACCATCAGTTGTTAACTTGGCTCTCACATGCATATCCTAAAACCGTACTTAATCTCCAAATAAAGACAATAACAAGGTCATAATTCTGCCTAACTTGTTACAACCATCCTGTGCATAACTGAGTACACACTAACCCCTTCTCCACAAAAGGAGGTAAAGTCTTTAAGTGATGTTTACTTTTTCTTTGCTATCTCATAACTTAAATGCTATGATGTGAAATTAACAATACTTAAATACTATGATAAAAAGGCAGTACATCTTATATTACGTGATGAGGGAATAAGAGAGGGAAGAAGACAGACATAAACACACATATACATACCCACATATTTATAACAAAATAGGGAGGAAATACTCATGACGTTACAGTCCTCGCTTCTGTAACTCGTCCTGTGGTCATAGCTGGTGTTCGTAACTTCCTTCTTCCACTACCCGTTGTGTATTCCTTCTGCCTCCAGCAGGCATCCAGCTGGTCACAGCTCTTTACCTGGCGTGGTGATGCAAACCTTCATTCCTGAAGGACCTGAGCCATTAGCAGACTAATGTTCAATGAAATATTTGCTTTGTATTGCCTGCATAGGCATAATTTGGGGATTTCTTTACATTTTGCTCTGTGCCATACATTCGTTTCTGTGAGGTACTGTAGATACTGTGCTTTGTGTGATCTAATTAATTCCCACATAGGAATTAATTCAAATTAACGCAACTTTATTTCATGGCTCGCTTTTTGGTTACCGTATTCACAAAGATACAGTACTACATGTGTGGTGTGAGACTTCATTTACCAATAAATTTAGTATGTTTTATTGCTTGCTCTTTTTTAGTATCCATTGACATGAATCTTTCTTTTTTGCCCTGTGGCTTTTATACTCTATTAATAGAATTTTGATGCATAGCATATTATATTTATACAAATAACTTTTCCCTTACCAAACCACTTTAACGTTCCTTTCAGTACATGTCTGATGAAACATAATTTTTTCTTAAAACATTTCTTTGTAATATTTGGATATGGCTTATATATATATAGCAGCAAGTGGCTGGTAAGTGACCTACCCAAGTGGTATAACTAGAACTGAAATCAACATTTCCTGATCCTCATCCAGTAATCTTTCAGAGGATAAAGGAAAAGAAAATAGCTGGCTTGCTAGGGTATTAGAATTCCTTTCCTTTTCTTTTCTTTTCTTTTCTTTCTTTTTTCTTTCTTTTTCTTTCTTTTTGTCTGGGTAATTTTTTTAAGTTAATTTTTTGTAATATCTGCAAAAGAAAAGGCCTGATTTGAGTTCTATTAATAAATTGTTTAGTAAGCCCCAATCAACTTGATTAATATACTTCAACTGGAAATTGGTTTAATGGTAACTAATTTATTTGGTCATGTGTAGTTTTCTAGGTTTAAATGTTAATCTGATGAGTTACCTGTTTTTCTGCTTTTCAGATGTAAATTACTTTTCTCTATTGAACTGACAGTTGTACATCCGTGATTGCTTTTGTGGCTAGCATCCTCAAAGGTCTCTGCCATTTAAGGTGTGATTATATTAAAATCTGAGTTAACCTTTCTTTTTTTTTTTTGAGGAAGATCAGCCCTGAACTAACATCTGCTGCCAATCCTCCTCTTTTTGCTGAGGAAGACTGGCCCTGAGCTAACATCCGTGCCTATCTTCCTCTACTTTTTTATATGTGAGACGCCTACCATGGCATGGCTTGCCAAGCTGGTGCCACGTTCACACCTGGGACCTGGGATCTGGGCTACCGAACTCCGGGCTGCCAAAGTGGAATGTGCGCACTTAACTGCTTTCCCACCAGGCCAGCCCCATGAGTTAACCTTTTCTGACATTTCTTCAGTCTCATTCCTGTTATAAGTGTAGTTTTTAGGAGTGCGTTCAGAGACTGATGATTTTGTCTTTGTTCTCTTATTTTCTTTCTAACCCATATTCTGGTTTTATTCCCAGCACTTACAACCTTTTATTCTGTAGTTCCTGTGGGATTCCCATTGGTTTCCATCTGTATTCTACCCATGCTGCCCTGGCCGCCTTGAGAGGTCACTTCTGCCTTTCCAGCGACAAGATGCTGTGGTGAGTAGACTTAGGTATTCGTTATCAAATAAATTTTAAAAGATCTTCCAGAAAAGGCAGAATATTTATATCAAAGAAGATGCTAGAGCCAGGCACTGTCTTTTACAAAAAAGATGGCAGTGGGACCAAAATATAATCTCATAACATTATGATAACTTTAGATGCCTTAGAATCATACCATGTCTTAATAATCATACCATGGAATAATTGAGAGGATATTCTTTCATTGTAAAAACTTCTGGAAGGTAGGCTTTTGCAAAATAATGTAGTGGACACTTTTTGGGTTTGTGCCCAGCTCCTGTCGCCCCGCCATAGGCTGTGGCCATGTTTGTATCATGAGATACCACTCCCAGGTGATGGCATCAAGAATGGATGCCTGACCTAAGCTAAGCCAATCAGGCTTTCTACCCTAGGAATTTGAAAGAAAGACCCAGAGGCGTAGGTCATTTGTAGATGGTCTGGTTGAAGTTGGGACATAAAAGCTGTAGCTGGGTTTAGGGTAGCGATTTTCTGTTATGCATGTAGATGCAGAGAAAGAAGAGTGAAGCAGATACGCAGAGAAAAGTGAAAAATAAGGACCATGTGGCCTCACAGAGTCAGAAAAAGTACACTACTGGCTGTTCCTTCTCCTGAATTACTTTGGATATTTCTTTACCTTCCTAGTAAATTCTGCATTTTACTTAGGCTTTTTTGTTTATTATAACAAACTGAAGCATCCAACAAAGTCTTTTCTTGACCATTAAAAACAAAAAATCAAAAATAGCCATGATGACCTAGTTTGTGCCAGAAGTTGTACTTATCTCACTCAGTTCTTAATATAAGAAAATTGGGGCTCAGAGAGGTGGAGGAGCTGAGATTTGAATCCATGTTTTAACTCCAAAGCTCATTTTCTTTTCATAAAACAAAGTTTCCTTTTTCTGTCTCTTTTTTTTTTTTTTAAAACCTTGGCACCTGAGAAGGCATCTGTTGCCAATCTTCTTCTTTTTTTCTTTTCTTCTTCTTCTCCCCGAATCCCTCAGGACATAGTTCATAGTTGTAGGTCCTTCTAACTCTGCCATGTTGGCCGCCACCTCAGCGTGGCTTGCTAGGCGGTGCTAGGTCCGTGCCCAGGATCCGAACCAGCCTGGACCTCTGAACCAGAGCGTGTGAACTTCACTTGGCCATGGGGCCGGCCTCCTTTTTCTCATTTGATGTGCTTAGATAAGTGTTTCTAGCTGAGTTATGGATGACTAAACAAACTTAGAAATAAAGCCCCTCCTTTACCCTGAGGTTGTTCTGTGTGCATTAGGTATACCATTTGTTGTTCTCTGCAGATTTTCAATAGGAAATATAGACTTAGATGGATTGATATTTTACTCTTAATTTCTAGTTTCTTTTTAAATAATTTCTATTTAGAATTAAGTTTAAAGAGGGAGGAAAGAAGTATGCCTAAATGTGTGCATTAGTAACCTCAAATCTTTTTTAGAAACAGTTATAAGTAATTGTTCCAGCAGACCTATAATTGAGTTTTTGCTTAAGGAAGTAAGCTTTGTAACAAAAATTTTTAATGTAAATTTGAAAAGCATTGTGGGATTTTAAGTAATTTCTTAATCTTTAAAATAAGGGCTTGGACTCAAAGGTTGGTATATTCTTCTTGATTAAGTAGAAATTAGTAAAGTATAGGTAGCATGAGTCTTGGAAGATAATAAATCTATGTCTATGTGTATCAGTTAGAATGAATTTGGTTGCTGGTAACAGAAAACTTGACTAACAGTGGCTTTAATAAGTGAGGAGTGGGGGCAGTTGGCCACTCTAGGAGTCTTGTGGTGGCTCAGTCGTGACAGTGCTCTGAGTCAGCATCTCTGGCTCTCTTGGCCTTTTCCTCTTGGATGCAAGATGGCGGCTGCAATTATAAGCATTATATCCATAGATAGTAGCATCTCCAACTGGAAGGAAAAGGATATGGAAAGTGTGGGAACCCGGGGAATGGTCTCCTTTTACCAGCAGACATTTCCTTATTATTGGCCAGAACTATGTCACATGGTTGCTGGTCACCTTAAGCTGGGAGAGCAAATATGTGACAATAGGGAATAAGGTTGCCACAGTTGGCTTAGAACAGCTATGATTCATTTCTTAGGACTGCGCACACTGCTGCCCTACACAAAATCTGGGTTCTGTTCATAAGAAAGAAGTGAAGAATGGCTACCTAGTAGGCAACCAATGTATTTGTCACAATGCGATTACTTCTAACTGTGCTACAAGATCTGGTGGAGTGTGACACTTAAACTCATCGTGATTTTTCATATGACCCTAGTTTTTGTCTTCAGTTTGTCCTGGGATAATTTTGTCTCATGTATTCCTGGCTGGCAAGGGGTGGGACGAGACACTGAGTCTCTCTGATGATTTGTTAATTGAGAATTTGTTTTTTCTACAAAATACATTATGAATTTTGAAACGGAAATCGATAAGAAGGCCCTCTTTGCTTGACAGATACTGTCAGGCAAGTTTGGTTCATTGATAATCTTAACTGTGGTATGGAACTAATATTTTCTCTATTTTCTATCTAGCTACCTCTTAAAAACAAAAGCAATAGTGAATGCATCTGAGATGGATATTTACAACGTACCTCTACCAGAAAAGGTTGCAGAGGTAAGGTTTCATGATGGTTGTGTGTTTCCTTTAATATAGACAACTCTTGATAATTTCTACCAATGAACTTAAGAGCATTTAAATGGTGTGACACTCCAATAACCTTTATACTTGGTTTGGCATTCCTTATTGACTTTATGACACAAAGCAAAATATTGAAGCCATATGCAAAGTCTAGTTCAGGAGGAGGTGGAAAGCTGCTCAGCTCCTGCATTCCTGTACTCTCTTCTCTGTGCTGGGAGTGGACACCATCGTCTTTTGTAGATCTGTCCTCTTTGCAAGCACCTTATGCTTAGTTATCTCAGAGGAAAAAGTAGTAAAACAATCATTAAGAATTCTTACTTAAATGGGTTTTACTAGTGGTTGATGGCTTTGAGTTGAAGAGGGCAACTTTGTTTTGGTAGCCTGCGAACTCATTCTGAATAGAAACTGGCCCATAGCTTTACTACCTTCAGAAGAACAAACTTAGAATTTAGTGTTGGTTTTGTTTTTAGTAGCATTAATAGTTTATTCCTTGCTAATTACACATTTGGTAACCAGTGGCATTTATTTTTCAGTTTAAGTACTTTTTAGTACAGGGGAACAGTGATTGCTTTTCCCCCCCATAATTAACCAAGCTCATGAAACCATGTTCCAAGTCAGGAGTTGGCGAACTTTTTCTGTAAAGGACCAGATGACAAATATTTTAAGCTTTGTGACCATTCAGTCTCAGCTACTCAAGTCTGCCATTATAGTGTAAGAGCAGCCATAGACAATGTATAAACAAAGGGGTTTGGCTGTGTTACAATAAAACTTTATTTACAAAGATGGACAGCCGGCTATCCTGCAGTTCATAGTTTGCCAACCCTTGCCCTAAGCTACTGAGGTGATGAGGGGTGGTCAGTAAATATTGTGATTAAATAATTGGTATGGGGGGCCGGCCCAGTGGTGCAGCGGTTAAGTTTGCACGTTCCACTTCAGCGGCCTGGGGTTTGCTGGTTCAGATCCCGGGTGTGGACATGGCAGCGCTTGTCAAGCCATGTTGTGGTAGGCGTCCCACATATAAAGTAGAGGAAGATGGGCACAGATGTTAGCTCAGGGCCAGTCTTCCTCAGCAAAAATGAGGAGGATTGGCAACAGATGTTAGCTCAGGGCTAATCTTCTCAAAAAAACCAAAAAAAATTGGTATGGGCAATAACTTTCAGAATGGTGGCCTGAGAAGCTCCATGGACTCCCCTCCCCAGCAAAACGGCCATAACTGGAGAAAGTTATAAAGAAAACAACCATCTTAAGTATGTGGAAATTTTCCTAAAGGCATAAAGCAAATGAAGAGACATTTACTCAAGAAAATCTCCTAAACCCTGGTAAGAACAGTGGAACCCTATGGCATTTCAGCCACATCTTGCTCCCTCCCTCCCACGCCCCTCCAGCTCAGAGGGAGAGAGGCTCCATCTGGGAAGATATAGCCAAGAACACAGGGATCTTTTTCCCCCAGCTACCAGAGGAGGGCTGTTTTTTCCCAGGAGGGGTAGGCTCCCAGCATCTCTCATTGGAAGCTCAATTCCAGGCAAGAACAGCCATTTGTAGTGTGCAAGCTCTGCCACAGGCATAGTAGCTAATAGTACTGGGAACCCATTCACCCTTGCCCCCCTTGCTCACAGGGCAGAGGTTTCTTGCTGGCAGAGGCAAGCTGAGAAGACCAGAAGCTGCCACCTCTGCCTAGCACCCTGTTTGTAAAAGGGGCGTCATTCTGAGAGACACTACCCCCACACCCAGCTTGGGAGCCCAGGTTAAGAGGCATATTGTAAAAGCAGAGCTCTGGAGCTCTCCCAAGGGAGCTGACATTGTTTGAAACAGTGTAGGGATGTTCAAGGGTGCTGCCCAAAACAATGGAGATTTTGGTGGTATGCAATTAAGAGGAAGCTGATAGTTCCAGACAGCAAGAAGCTAAACCATAGACTAGTTAGAAGTTTATAAGAGAGAATCAGGGAAGTAAACAACTAAGAAGAGTCCTCCTGGGGTTGGAACAAAAAAAGACTGGCCTTAATTTAGACTACCCCTACAAAGGAGTCTGAATTTGGATTAGACTGTGGAGCAATTTATGTCTCAGGTCATTGTCATAAACTAGAGCAATCAGCCAGCATTAGCGAGGCTAACAGCTGGGTGTGATACCAACAGCAGTGGTAGACAGCTTACACAGATCAGAGAAGGGGACGGTCAAAAGAGAGCCTTGCTAAAACTGCTATCACCCTGGGTGACTGCACAAGCCCTAGGCTGTGTCCTCTGAGGAGTGGCATCAGAGGCTGCACGTTGTGGGGGAAATAGACAGCAGTAGAAGTCTAGCCAACTCACTGAACAGATAAGCAGACAACCACCAAGAAGAGTGGTGGTGTTAGCATCCAGAGTTGCTACAATATATTATCTAAAATGTCTATTTTTCAATAAAAAATTAGACATACACAGGATAAGAAACTGGCATCAGAAACTGCCTTCGGAAGGCCCAGCTGTTGGACTTAGCACACAGAGCCTTCAAAGCAGCTATGTTAAATATGTACAAAAAACTTTAGCTTACTTTTGAAGACCATTAGCAAAATATTGAAGAAAGAAAGGCATTTGTTACTGTAAACAAAGAAAAAAAGTTAGATTTTTCCACTGGAAGAGGAGGGGAAGGCTAGTTGGCGTTTCTGTGTCCACAGGCTCTTACCCTGCTTTATTCTTGTCTTCCTTCCCAATTTCTGGAGTTTCAACCTGGTGATAAGGGGTAGGAGGGAGGGAGATGGGAAGCAGTGATGCTCAGCAATGGCTGGTCTTTTTTCACATGAAACTTTATATTTAAGGATCTTGTGTTCTAGATTTGTTGTATAAAGTTCTTTCAGAAAGAGAACAAATGTGTTCATGAAGTGTGTTGAGACATTGCCAGCTCCCAATCAATAGCTTAAATTTGAAGTAGCTTCCAGAACTAGCAAATAGAGTTAAGCTTAAGATGCCCTGAAGTCTATATATTTCTCTTCCCAGCTGAAGGAGAAGATAATGTTAACACATACTCGCTTAAATGCACTGATGACAATTCTGAAGGAAGTGACTCCCGGCCAGTCCAAGCCAGAAAACTGATCCGACCAGAGCTTGAGTATCAGGGTCAGGCTTTCCTGCTGTCTTCAACAACACATGCTTTTTGATCATTTCTCAAGAAAGATCGACCTCAAGAATGGATGGCAAATGTGGATTATTCTGTTTACCTCCGGACTGATTTTCCAAATGATTTGTGAAGCTATTTCTAGAAGATGAGAAACTAAGGAGACTTCTGTCCAGGTTTCATAGCTATTTGCCTTAAGAACTTATTGTAGCTTCTTATCAAGTTTATAATACTTATTTCTGGAAACATCTTCAACTGCAAATTTAGGGATTAAAAGGCAGTGTCCCATGAGTGCTCTGATCTGAAGATGCGTGGTTGGTTTGAAAAGAGTTGTACTTAATGTTACTACTATTATTCCTACATGGGACAGTTGTTATATGAATACTGAAAAGTCATTTTTTTTGTATGTTAAATACAGGTACATACATATTCTGTAAGTTAATATTCAATAAGTTGACTGGATAATATACAAGTTCTCTTCAGTTGCAAGCTGAGCTTGACAGGGTATTAATGAAGCAATGATAAAACATCAAACATTGATAGAAATGCTGTTTTTTCATATTTTGCTTTACATAGCATTTGGCTCAGTAGCTTATCATATTATTCATTTAATAAATACAAGGTATTATGCTAAGCTGCTGGGGATAAACGGTAAGCAGAAACAGCCACTCTTCTATCGTAGTTTATAATCTTGTCGGAAATGGACATTCAGATAAGCACCTGAAGACATGTAAACTTATGACTGCAGTGAGGGTTTTGAAGAAAAGGGACATGGAGATGCAAGCACAGATAGCACGTAACTGACGTGGTCTGGGGGTCAGGGGAGGCCTCTGAGGAAGGGAAGTTTCAGCGGTGGTGGGAAAGACGAGGAGTTAATTAGGCGATGGAGGGAACAGCCTCTGCGCTGTGAGACCCTTAAGAGAAGGCCTGCAGGAGTTGCAACATTGGTCAGAAACCAGAGCGAGAAGGCCTTACTGGCCTCCTGAAGGATGTTTCTTTTTATTCCAAGAACCATGGGAAGCCCTTGAAGAATTTTAGAGGAGGAGGCCTATGACAGGATCAAATTTTCTTTTTTCAGAACCTCGTGGTTGTCCTGTGGGGAATAGGTGGGAGGGGCTGGCACTAGCACAATCAAGGGATGATCTAGTCGAGTGGTGGTGCAGAGAGAAGGCAACTTGGTCCAGGTGAGCTAGCAGATGTTTTTTATAGCAGATTCTTTCCCTTTTATACTGCATAAAGAATATTTTCCTTTAAAATATTTTAAACTGGAGAAAATTCTGGTTTGCTTAATGCTTTGGGGTTGCAAAATTTTGGTCCTGTAAGCAAGGGTGAAGACTCTGGCAACAAACAGTACCAGAAAAGTTCTTAGTTACTTTCTGCTCCTAAAGAATAGGACTGAATAAAGTAGTTCTATATTGAATCATCCACACACATTTTATTGTGTGTAGGCATGTCTGCCTCAACGTATTTCCTTTCTTTATCTAAATTAAAAAACTTATGTCAAAACAAAACAAAGGCCAGCCCTGGTGGCCTAGTGGTTAAGTTTGGCACACTCCGCTTTGGAGGCCTGGGTTCAGTTCCTGAATGCAGAACCACACCACTTGTCTGTCAGTGGCCACGCTGTGGCACTGGCTCACATTTAAAAAAAAAAAAAAAGAGGAAGATTGGCAACAGATGTTAACTCAGGGTGAATCTTCCTCAGCAAAACAAAACAAAAACCTTATATAGCTATTTCCTTTAACCTCTGGATTTGCCATTTTGGTAGACTTTCAGTAGAAAATGAAATGCTTGAACTTGACATCAAATTAAGCTGGCTGGTTCTTTCTTTTCCTTTTTCTCCCCAAATCCCCCCAGTACATAGTTGTATATTTTCAGTTGTGGGTGCTTCTAGTTCTGGCATGTGGGATGCCGCCTCAACATGGCTTGATGAGCAGTGCCATGTCCGTGCCCAGCATCCGAACAGGCGGAACTCTGGGCTGCCGAAGTGGAGTGTGCAAACCTAACCACTTGGCCACAGGGCCATGCTGGCTGGTTTTAAATAGATTTGTTTTCCTCCATAGCATGCTGGGAAGTGAGCAGACACTGGGGCCAAACTATTTGGATTCACATTGTGGCTTGGGTACTTAATAGCCATGAACTTGAAGAGTTTACTTAAACTCTTCTTGTGATATAAGGATTAAAAAATATCTGGGGCTAGAGTGAGGATTAAGAGTTCATGAATACATCTGATGTAATCAGACCAATGCTTAGCACGTAAATGGTGCTCAATAAATACTAGCTATTATAACCTTCGTGCAGGTGAATATACACCTATAGACATAAAGGCAATTATAGTTTTCATATTATTCTGCAACCTGCTTTTTGCACAAATGTCATGGACAACTTTCTATACTATACCAGCCCATACACAAATTATTTCATTTGTTTTAACACCTGCATATGATTCAATTATGTGAATATATCAAAATTTAACCATTCTTGTATTGGATCTTTGTACATATCTTTGCATATCTGTACCGATACTTATGTAGGAGTGATTCCTAAAGAGGGACAAAGTCAAAGGGCACGTACATTTACAACTTTGGTATTGTGCTTTCCATAAATATTAGGCTGATTGATACAAATGGTTGACTTTTACAAGCTTTAGGTGGTATAAGAGCTCGTCTGGAAGTCTAAGAGACATCAGTGAGAGACTGGCTGATAGTAACAGATTCTAAGACTACTACAGTTTGATACCATTTAACATTGTATATGCGTTGAATAAAAGTATTTTCAAAATTCCATGTAGTTATAAGAACAATAAAATTGCATAGTAAATGTCCCTGAGTTGTAAACTTTTGAGCTGCTTAATTAACGGCAGAAACATCTCCATTTTTGTAACCCTAACATCTGGCACAGTGCCTTGGAGTGGAGTATAGTGTTAAGTGTGTGTTAAATGAAGTCTTCTAAATCAAAGGAAGGAAGTACATTAGTAGTCACACCACAAAAGCCACATAGCTTTTGTTCTTCTCCATTTGACAACTGCCGATCCCAAAGAAGTTTGTAACATCTACTTTCCTAAACTTGAAGAAACTCCTTTTCCTGAATAAGGAAGAGGATTTCTTCTTAATTATAGTATTTAAAAAACCTCTTTAGTTAACTCAGCCATTTAAATATTAAATATAAAAGCATCTTAAATGCTTTATCTATTTCAGAGAGGAAGGAGTCCCTGCAGTAATTGTATCATTATTGTATTAGCTCACTATTTCCTTATCGGAAACGAAACATTCACTTGCTCACAGACCTGGCATAACGTTGGTCCTGCAGGTAAACAGGAATGGCCTAAGTTTACGTGGGGTCTGTCTGTCTTCAGATGGCTGCCTGCTCCCTTGGACTACGCCAGAAACTGCCGCAACTCAGTATGAAGAAGTCCAGGTCTTTTGTCTTTTTTGACATCTGGAGCCTACCTCAGCACAGGTTTGTGGACATGCTCCTTCTCCAATCTCCGTAATTTACAGCATTATTAGAAATTACCCATTCTAAGTAACAACACACGGAGAAATTTCAGTGCATTCTCAGCCCATGCTGCTTTATTGCCAAAAAATATATATACACAGGTGCAGAGTTTCAACTCTTACAGCAGTTCCTTTTTTACATCAAAGAATAAAATTTCTTCTAAAACCCCAAAGATGCATAGATTAAAAAGCAAGCTGCCTTTTGTAATACTTTAAACATTTCATGAAATTCCTTTAACATCTTATATACCAGTGGTGCAATGGAGAAGATGCAGAATAGCAAGTAAAAACAGTGAGCAACAACTCTACTTATAGGACAGTAAATAAAACTATGTGAAAGGTACTCTAATGTGAATCTTTAATTACAAGGGATAGGTGGTTTTAAGTACGTGCCAAGACTGACTGCTGTTGAAGGACTGATGATAATGTATTGTCAGAATACCTTTCTTATCCCTGGGAGAAAAACACATTTTAACTGATGGCATGCCATACCATCACTAAGGGAGACAAAACCTGAAAATTGCCAGTTCAATTTGGAACTACTGGAAAGTTACCATTCCCTTTAAACATTCCCAAAGGTATCTGGAGTAAAATCCCACAGCAAAGAAAATGAGGTTAACATAATTTTAGAAAAAATATTTTTCAATCGTAGAACACGAAACCTGGAAGGGGCCTAGTGAAAATCATCTAGTCTAATCCTGAATTCTACTTAGGCCTATTTCAGATATAATGAATTCTGTTTGCATATTATTTGTCATGATCACTTTTACTTTTAAGGGCTATTTCGAAGTCAAGAATCTTCTCAAAAGTCTTAAGCTACCACAATAAACGGATCTATTTTCTTCATCAACTAAGAAAATAAATGGCAAGGGTTTTCTTTTTTCAGAATTGGAAATCTTGCTCTTGTTTACCTGGCATCAAAAAGCTTTTAGGCAACAAATTATGCAGTCTGACCAAAACATCATTGATAAAACTCTGGCTACCAAAAAAAGATAAAAAACAAAAAAATTAATACAGTAACAAAAGAGAAACCAAACCACAGATGACATGTCAATGTTTTCAAGACTATTTCCAGATAATGGAACTGTCTCCTTTGCTCCAGGGATCCTGCATGGTTGGTCAATACCAGAACCATCCAGAAGAGGTGCCTAGTTATCTGAAAATGTTAGAACACCTGAAATATGTGCATATTGCCTCTATTCACTTCCAAGATACTAGTTTTTAAGAGATCCAAACCAAACCACGCACACTTTATCTGTCAAGCCTCATACCTAGTTATTTCATGTGCGCCACACTGGGATTCCCTACTTTCCTATCCTTTCTGAAACTCTGCACCTTTCTGATTATTACAGCCATAGCAGCTTATTTATTCATTCAACATGCTTAGTTTGTGCCTTTTGCTTTTAAACATGCTTAGGGACTAAGGGAACCAGGCAAGAGGTTAGAGGGTGAGCACTATTATGCTCTATTCCTGACAGTTTGAATGTCTTGTGGTTGCCCCTATCTTCTAGCTCCCATTTTAAATGGAAGTAAGATAATTTTTAATTAGAAAATGAAAACTAATAATCCAAACAATAAATACAAACTATCAGTTTACATCTCTATTGCTTCATTATTAATAAATGCATATATATAAATACTAGTAACCACATAACACTGGACATTTTCAACCATGCATTAGGATATTAGTACTCTTAAGACTGCAGTTATGGGCCTGCCACTATTGCTTGCACTTTCATACAGACCCACTTTTAATAAACATGCAGGGTAAACCCCTTGATTCAGAGGAATTAGGGGAAATACCAAAGATACATGCAGTTTCAACCAAAAATGTGGGTTAATAAAGTGATTGCTTAGAAATGTAGGCAGGTGCTCCACATCTATCACAATCCTGCTTCAGAAGAGGTACAAAAGTCCCACACAAGCAGGTTAGTATTAGGACCACTATTCAGTTATAAAAGGCTTAACGGCAAATCCTGGTCCCTTTGGGTAGAGAATGATGTAAAACACTCTGAGAAAAGAAAGAAGTGAGAGATGTACATTCTTCTGGAGCACTCAGTTTTCTTGGCCGTGTATTGACAGCTAGAGCATAGAAGAGCATAGGTGGTGTAGGGATGGTGAAGATGCTCTTAGGCAGAATGGTTCCTCTTCTGATCCACATTATTGAGCATTACCTGCACAGCTCCCTGGGGAAAAGGAGTTTATGAACAGCAGAGCTAATACAATGTAAACTCAAAATCAATGCCCTGAAATTTAGCATAGCCCTCTGCTTTTGAAAACTGTTGGCCAAGGGATCCTTCCAAGTATGGTCTAATTAATAGCCAAGCAATGTTCTGAATAAACTAGAAGCAATTTGCTTGCACCAGCAGCACCATGAGAATGTAAACTCCTGGAGGCCAAGGGTCTCTTCATATTTTGCATATCACAGGTACACAGAGTAAACATGAGACTACAACAGCACTGAAAAGTAATTAACTGCATACTGTGAGACTACAGAAACTTGTAGCACACGTTAGCATTTAGAACTATTAACGTGGCTGTTAAGGGTAATCTTTAATTGTTCTAAGTAACTAAAATGTTGACATCACTGTAATATGCAGCATTGTCCTCATGATTGTGCAGATGTCTGAATATTGCTTGGTTATTCCAATGTCTCTAACACCAACAGATGGTGTCGTGTAGGACATTTAAACAGGAGCTATAATCAATTTAATATAGCCTTCTCTCTATCCTTTGGAGTTGCCATATAAAGAATTAAATATTCAAGAGGCACTGTTTTCTTAGATCTGCTCCACTTTTAGTTTTTTTCCCTGGGAAAACAAGGAAACATAGACCCAATCTTTTCAGGGTTCTTCAAGGTGCTAAATGGCCAAGATGAACATGAGGTAAAAGGGAGTAAGAAATCACCCTCGTTCCACTATTATATCCTGATATGAGCTGTGTGATTCCTCAGATCAAGAAACTAGTTTGCTGGGTTCTTGTTAAAATAAGCAGTCACAGGCCATAGGCCTCGGCACATCTACATTAGACAAGGCTTAAAAAACCAACATACTGTCTTTGGGTATTCCCTTCAATCCTTTTGCTTTACACCTTTAAATCCTAACTCCCCTAAACCAACCATAGGCATGAGCAAAAGCCAACTATCTAAGTTCTTGGTTTGTATTACTTTTTTTTAACCTTAAATATACACTCACACCAAACTTTTCCTTTTTTAAAATGCACCCAGGAAATGGATGGAGAAAGATGAGGTGACAAAGCAAAAAGGATGCCATTTAATAAATGCCTGTTGCTAAAGCAAAACCCCCACCCTATGGCTTCAGTGGGGCTCCATCAGTTAGGAGTACATTTGTTTCCAGGTTAAGCACTAGGAGTTTCATTCAAGGGCTCTAATGCTCTGCTCTAGGAAACAAATAGGGTCCTTAACTTACACAAGTTGCTATTTCTCACACAAAGATATTTTCATATACATTCATAGTTTTAAAAGTACCTTTTATATGCTCTTTACCTAGAACATCTTTTTCCTTTTGTGCAACTCTGTTGATCGCAGAGCTCACAAACTCAAGTAGTAATACTTACTCTACTGTACAACCTTGCTAATGCAACTTACTAGACATGCAAAACTTATTGCTACGAAAATTCTACCTCTTGAAAATTATTAGTTCGTTGTATGGCTTTTTTTTTTTGCAACAGGAAATATTCTTTCCTATATAAGTGTGCTATTTTGCATTCATTACCTTTTCAGAGGTATTTTAAAAAATGTTTAAATGCTTTTCAGAAATGGATTCTCCCAGGCACTAAACTACTTGAGCCAATAGTAAAACTACTTTAAGTACGCTATGAGAATCTAAACCCGGGTCCCTGGAGAGTCTATTTGTTTAAGCTTGCTTCTGCACACAAGACACACCACATTCAAACAGTTTTGCAGTTCCTATCATGCTAACTGTAGAATCTGTGTCAATAAATCCTGGATTCTCCTAATACTGAGATTTAAAAATTACCTCAGAAAACTGCCATTTCCAAGTTCTCAAGGCCGCTTTTAGAGGTAGGAATTTCTTTTCTACAGAAAGCTATCTTATGCTTTCAGAAAAACTTTTATTTCTACAAGGAAAGCGGAAAAAAGTGAAAGCTGTCTGAGGCAGCTTACTATAACCAAGCAAAAGAGTTAGTATTACAGGGCAACCTAGGTAGGCTCCATCTAACTACATTTACAAATCTCATGAAAAGGTCTGGAATTCCATCAACACACATTTCAGCAGATTTGGAAGTAGGAAAAGCCCATGCAAATTAATCTCGGATTCTCTGAACTACTGACCAGTGTTCTGTTAAC